ACAAGATTAAAGTACTTAGTATGTTTAATCATATCACAATCAAATGTATCTATACATTTCAGATACATCCATCAAAACCACTCATTAAGTGGGATCATTATTATAAAGTGTATAAGTATGAAGAAAATTCTTTAACAAAAGTTTGTCCTAAACTAACTAAACACCATTTTGAATTAAATAACTTATTAAAAATGAAGGTTAAATATGCTGTTCAGGTAAGTACCTGAATGTACCATTTATACCTATTAGTACCTACATAACAAATATTGTTTAATGAAGATAATTATAATAATAATAAAGTTTATGTGAAATTGTATGAAAGACTGCTAAATAATAACTTTTATGATGACTTACAATTTTTTAGGGATGAAATAATTGTAATTTAAAATGATTTATGATTAATTTTAGTTATTCAGTGAGTCTATGGCTGCAGGAATTCAGTTCTATAAAAATAAAAACTTTTTAGGATTTGAAAATAGTGAAGAAACTATCAAATTTACTTTGATAATGAATAGGATGTTTGATGCCCTAAACCGAAAATTCCCCGCTGAAGGAATTAAAAAAAATTCCGAAGACATAGAGGTTTTCTAAGTGTATTTGTGTTGTTGTCTGAATTGTTAACTGCATGCTTGTTTGTTTTTGAATATTGTTTTATTTATTTACTCTGTTATAATATTAATATCTAAATGTTAATTAATTATAAAAACTATATTATGAACATTTTCATAGAATATCTAGATGGATATCTACCTAACAAAGTATTGTGTACATGTTTTTTCATATTTGTTGTATTATTTTTGACATAAAAACCTAACTTGTGTTAGTTTTGTGTTTCGACATATTTTAACATAATTGTAACAGTATTAATACATTTTATATTTGTAGATTTTAAAAGAAAGTCTACGATGGATAAAAGAATGGGAATGTAATTTGAAGAATAACCTTATTTGTGATGCTGAGTTTTTAACCAAACAGACAGCAGAAGGGCTAAAAATTACATTACAATCAACTATTGACTTGGTTAATGTTTTATTAAACGATTATGGATTTAATTATGTCTTAACAGCAAAAATAAATCAAGATTGTTTGGAAGTACTAAATTTTAAATAATATTATTTATTAAATATACCTAATATATTAATTTTATTATTTATATTAATTATATAAAAAACATTATACAGAAGTTTTTTGGTATCATCAGACAAATATCTGGCCCAAATGACCACCCGACAACACCCACATTTTTACAGTTGTATAGGATGCTTTCAATTAATTCTCTAATTAAACCTCCAAAAGCTGGTAACTGTACTGTTTATTCAGGTATGTAATTAGTTTTAAATTTACCTAACCAAACCTATACACAAAAATATTTTATTTCAGAAAATGAACCTGCTATTTCTGTAAATGATTTTAAAGAAATTATTAATGACCCATTAAATTCTTCGATTAGAGAAAATAAAATAGATCAGTTGAAAGCTAAAATTGATCAAATAATTGAAAATGATATTGGCGAGTTAGAAGATATTGTAACACCAGAGCTATGTCATTCATCACTTTTGGAATCTCCTAGTTTTAACTGTACAGTTTACTATTTATCAGGGTACTAAATCTTCTTTGATCTTAAACTAATATTAATAATATTTAATAGAAAATAAGATTGTACAATATTTTATTTAATAATTTCCAGATATATAGCTAGAAAACTCTTAAAAAAAACAAAGTGTGAATTATGTATAGCTGGCTTAAAAAATTTAAATAGCAGTTCATCTCCAGAAGCAGAACTTGTTAATTTAAAGTCAAGAGGATATTTAACACATCCTAATAAAAATTTATTTCTCATTTTGAGAAGTTTAGAGTTAAGTTTTGTGAAACATGCTGGCTCTATTGATGTGTTTAATGAAACATTGTCAGATTTCCTTAGTACTCATAATCCTTTGACATTTGAATGTAATGTGCACCAAACTGATATTCTCACAGATATATGTAGCACATTTGTTATAATGAGAATGAGGCAGTATACATATATTAAAAATCAAATGAATAAAAAACAAAATAAAACTAAAAAAAAATTATCAAAACTCGTAGGTACCTAGTTAAATTATAATTTACACTGAAAGGTAAGTATATTATATTATATTATACTTTATTTAATTATTATTTATTAAAATATAAAAATTATGTAATGTAACAACACAATAATATTATAATTTATAAAATATAAATTTATTATTTGTATTTCCGTATTTTATTTTTTATAACGTTTATTCATGACACGATTAAAGATAGTATATTATCAATTATTATTCAATATTTAAACGCTAGGAGCGCTAATGCTCGGTTCTGCTGGTCGTTGTGATAACAAGGAAACTCTAAGAAACACTTTATTATGGGTCGTTGTGCAACCATACTATCTTTAATCGTGCTCAATATATAGCTTTAAAACTGATATAGATTCAAAAAAGATTCACATTTTTGGTTCTCAAGTTTATGGACTAGCAACAAATACAATAAATATAGATATATATTTGGAAATCGGCAAGACAAAACAACTTACAATTATGTATATTGTTGTCAAACTAAATATAAAAATTAACATTTTAATATTTGACAGACTGACCAGTGATTATGTTGGAAAAGTGATCTTGCCCAATCGGGTTTTGCTGGTGATTCTTAATCAACTTCATTTTTTGAGAAAGATCTCTTTCCTACAGCAACTTATACGATTAAGGTTAAATAAATGAGACATGCACTTTATCCATCACTGTATGTAGTGCTCAGATCATTTTCTAAAAAAAATTGACAACATCTTTTATACTCTGTATTCTGAAAATAACACTTTTATGAACAGTTATTGACTGCGAGGTCTAGATGTATGTCATCATCATACAACTGTATACATAATCATAAGAAACTTTGCCTTGACCTGAAACTAATATAGACAGATGTTAAAAAATGGAAATTATCATTAACTTTTATTAAATTGAAATAATACTATCTATAATTGCTAAAAAAAAACTTTAATTTTTAAATATTCTTCTGTAATATTTAGTCAGTGATCTCCTAAACTCCGCCAATAATTGTCCAGTTAATAACTGAATAATAATTACATATATTCTGAAAAAAAACAAGTTTTCATTTGAAATTTTAATGTATTATCTAATTTTAAACATGTTTGTTTAACACATTATAATACAAGTCAACTTATACATCACGATTGGAAGTGCTGCCTTATGAGTTGAGATTCATTACAAATTAAATTTATATTTGTTAAAAAACCTTGACCTGTATCCACCACTGAAATTTTTTTGTAAATTTTAATTTTGATATGAGTAGTTTTTGGGTATCTTTATGATCTATAAGTCTTGGCGATTTATCGAGAAAAATGTACTTAATTTTTTTACATTTTGGTATGTTACCATAGGAACACCTCCAGAAACTCCCCTTTGCTGCATTTCCATGAACTTATAATTATGGTAATATTTATTTTTTTATTTACTGGATACTGAGGTGTTCAATTGAACAGGGTCGTTATTTTTAAATTATTTTGTGGCTGGAGTTCTAGTTCTAATTATGTATAAAACATTTAAAAATAATCAGAGAAGTTTAACTGATGGCCCAAATCCTTGAAAAGTTTAACATTTCTAATATTTTAAAAGTGGTTTATTATCTATATCTGTGATAAAATCAAATTTAAATTAATTTCCATAATAAATTGATCGTATCAGATATTCTTATGGTGTATTCGTATGTTTAATGTTATGTAGTATATTTACTTACTACACTTTCGGTGACTGTGGACTTTCTTACATTTTATAATATAAACTATTCCATTTTATTAATATGTATGTTATGACTGATGAATATTGGCCCCGTGAAGACGTTTTATTTGAGGTGCCACATGCTAATTTATTTTGGTGAAAAAATATATGCCTGTAAAAAAAGAATTGGTAAATTTACGAGGTAACAATTTACCGAGCTCACATCTCTAATAATTCTAACTTCTAACAGTTTTCTGATAAGCATGCATGTATCATACAGCAGTGTAAAAATTATATTTTATATTTCTTCGAGAAAATATTATTTAGGTATTTGTGTTCTAGTTGATCGTGTCTTAGTGTTATGAATCTATTGTACATTAATTGTGCACTTATTCAAAAATTAACCCACCTTTTATAAATTACATCTAATAAATTGTTTAGTACTTCACAGTAGTTGCATAGACATTATTTGCTCAGTTTAGTACTGGAGGGTTTAAGGGTAGCAGTTGCTACCAATGATTTTTTCAGTAAGGTGGTTGGATCCTCTGGAACCAAAATATTTACATCATAAAAATTATACTACATATAAAAATATTGAAAATAAACTATTGAATAAATATAGGCTATAGCCATTAGTCTATTAGCCATTGCCCATTGCTACCACTATTTATTTTTGAGTTCGTGCTACATGCTTAGTTAGGTATGTTATAAGACATTTAGTTAGTACACAATATTATATTATATGCACAGACAATGTGTATAAATATAATGGATAGCGAGTGCTGTTGAGTAATATTGATAACGACAGTGGTTTTAATTTACAGATGATATGTTTGACGGAATAATAGTAAATAATCAAGTAAAATTTGTACAACAATTTAACAAACATTGTCTATTGAAGACCGAAGTCTTTCAAAATGTGAAATCAATCTGTAATTGCCGTGTGCCTATTGTTACATTTTATCACGTACCATCAAAGTTCATCTGTGATGTGTCCTTTAAAAGTGGTCTTGGCACGTATAACACTAAACTAATCAAGTATGTGACACCGTTAAATATTTGGCCAGAAATATGGTTATAACTTGTTTTTTTCAATTTTGTTGCAGATTTTATTTGTCGACAAACATTACTGTAAAGTGGCTGGTCTGTGTTATTGTGAAGAATTGGGCTCTCCAAAATGGTTTAAAAGACAGCAACTTATTCACCAGCTATGCCTTGATATAATTGGTACTGTTTTATTTGATGACGGAAAAACTGGTTCCATCGTTGATTGAACTCAGGCAAACTGCTACTAAAGCTGATCATAAAGTCATTGAAGGTGCATAATATATTATAATATATTTCTTTTTTCTATTGACGTTATACCTAAATATACATATATTTTTACCAGAATGGGACTGTACGTTCGGAAAGTGTTCAGTCTATATCAGTGAAGATAAACGCCCAAAACTTTTAATGAGTTTTTTTCAATACTATGCCAATAAGAGAGCATTAAAAGACCATGTACTGTCTACTTGCACTGGTCAATTAATAAAAAAGCATGCATTTTATGAAAAAATTACGGACTGGTTTTGCAGGATCCATTTGAACTGTCATTCAACCTAACCAGGAATTTACATAATCAAGCTTTGACAGACTTTTGTGATCTGTGTCATCAAAGTTCAACCCTTTTGATTTGTGTGAAGGGTATGATGTTTACTAATAAAATAATCTGCTCATTTTTGTGATTTTTACGCCTTGTTAAAATTCAAATTTTAAATTAACCCTCATTACTTCTGTTATTTACATAATTTAAAAAAAATTATTAGTGCCATTATTTATAATTTTAGCTTAGTCATCCTGGTACTCTTTATTACTGTCATTCTACCTTATGTTATAAGTTATAACCAGGGCTCTGGACTTAAAGCATTTGCTTCTTTTCATGGATTGAATTAAAATGTAGCAGAGTGGTATGGAAGTGCATGTTGTGTTACAACACGTTCAATTATGAAATTGGAAAGTGTTTTTTTTTGCTTTTTTTAACCAGTTTTTCTAATTTTTATGGTTTTATCTTGCAATGTGGTTTTTGATAGAATTAAAACTAAATCATACAATGCAATAATGACGGGGTATAATTTAATTAATAAATTAATTTTAAACTTTTTGTAAATATTGTTTACATTTTATTTTTAAAAAAATCCATAAACAATAATGCAAAATGTCACGAAAGTGAAGTTTGATTTTTTTTTATAATATAAAGATTTATTTTTTATTTAGTTTATTTTTTAGTTAGAAACTTTTCCTAATCATTATTTTTAGCACAGTTATACAAATTATGTCCAGTACCTACTTTATCATGTAAAAAGAAAGTTTTTTTTTTGATTAAATATTTTTGTTTAAATTTAAGTTTTTTAAATGCTTATTTTAGTGCTTATAATGATGTTTTAAAGCGTCTTTTAATTATTTTAATGATTTTAAGTGCTATAAGTCCCCAGCCCTGGTTATAACCAATATTATTATATCTATTCATAACTTTGTATTGTTTTCTTTTCATATTTTATGCATATTGCATTATTGTATATAACTTATTAATATCAATTTAAAGTTGAACTCCCACTTCCCAACAGCTTGGAAGTGGTTAACTACTGTAAATGTATCTTTATATTTTAAACATTAAATCATAGTTTTAATATAAATATATTATTATTATTGTTATTATAAATGTTTATAAAAAAAAAAATTGTGGCTGGATTTTTAATATTTTTCAAATGTAATTGTAACAATATATCAAGAGCCTTGTATTAAATTTTCAATCTTTTTACCCAACAAATAAAATTTTATTGACATTCATAGAAAAAAAAAAAATTAAAAAATAATTAGAAACTGAAAATGTTCGTAAACAGTTCAAAACAAAATGTTGTGAAATTTTATCGTGTATAGAAAATGCTAATATAAACAACCAATGAAAATTTCTTGTATTTACGGTCATTATTTGTTTTAAAGTTTTGCCAAAATTCCCATTTTTATTTATTTTTTTGTTGTTTTTCCTAGCTCTTTTGAAAACTATTGGGAATTTTAAATGTTTACCTCTTAAATGCACCAACTAGATTCGTTTTCCCATTGAACAAGATACTGTTGATGAAAATCGAAGCAGTTTTATTGTCCCAAACAGTGGTAACAGACACAAAAGTAAAAAAATTAAAAATTAAAAAACACATCATTGTAAAATCAATGCCCAGAATCTAAAATATAATTCTAGAATATTTAACACATTTGAATCGTTTTAAATATAAATAATATATTATTTAATAATTTAAAAATAAAACCTTTTTGTCAAAATGATTTGTTTTTATTCAAAATTTTAGGATACAGAAAATTGCTTCTCCTTTAAAATCAGTATTTTGGAAATAATGGTACGTTATGATATAATTAATGAAGTGATTAAATATTTTACCTAATAAATGTGCAGCAATGTTATCTGTTATTGCTTTATTTGTATACTCAATAGGCATGAAGACCAGAACATTCTAGTCTTCGTATATATAAAAATATACAAGTAGCGATTAAAGTGTATCTAAATTTTTTCAACGCCTTATATAATAATATCTACCTATATTGTATATCAAATAATATGACTTATTTATGGCTAAAAATCGAACTACCGCCCATACTACAATTTCAAAGTGAAGTAATTTTTTTAAAAAATATTAAACAAACACAGGTACAGGTGTACAACATGGATTGTGGGGGATGAGGGCTAATCAACAAGAACAATTGTTTGTGGGTAGGAACCTATATTTAATTATTTTAAACAGAAATCAAACTGATTTAATAATAGTATACTATTTGTTAACTTCTCCAGGGGAAATAACGGAAATAAATTAATATTTCATATTATACAGATATGGAAAAGGCATTTGAAAAAATAATAAGTCTATCGTTAATCTCAAAATGTAAAGATTATGGGTTTGAAAATACTTTTTTTACGTTGGTTTGAATCATTTATACCAAATTGCACCCAATAATAAAATGTAGACATTTTCTTTCAAACACAATCATCCAGATGGTGACCATTTATTTTCCACTTGTTTTCAATTATTATTAACGGTATTTCAAAATATTAGTCATTCTAATTTATTATTATCCACCTATGATGCTAAAATATATTAGAAATTACCTACCTATGGGCTATGAATGATCTTAGTATTTGCTTCGATTCTAAATTATCTTTCAACAAACATATTGAATTTATGAGTAATAAAGATTTACAAACGTTAGAATAAATAAAACAAACATCCAAGAATTTTCAAGAGGATACTTCTTTAAAATTATTATATTGTTTGATCATAATTGGAATACCTATTGGTCTCTTATAGCACACCGCACACAATCTGTAATTTAATCCCATAAATTATCCACAGTTCAAAATAATTACCTTAGATTCCTTTCATTCCAATTCCATTGTGTATAAAATCTCACATTCTAACTACCTACTTGCATATTGAAGGATTTCTTAATTTACCCAAGCTAAAACTATTATTTAACCAAAATTGTCTTTTAATTATTAGGTATTTAGTCGAATTGTCTGTCCAGAATTATTACTAAAACGTCTATTAACTTAAAATAAATACAATGAGATCACAGGGATAGCCATTATTTTTCTTAAAGACTATATAACAAAAATTTACATAATGTATAAGTATAACTTTTTGTAATTTATAAGGTATTGATTTTTCAATTTATCCCTTAATAATTTTCGGTTACAATTATTATTGTTACTTGTTAGATGTTGATTAAATTGTTTTTGTTCATATTTATAAAGGTATTATTATAAATGTATAACCATAGGATTGTTATTATATTACAATTTAGTATTTACTACTATAGGTATGTCATGTTATATTATGCTGTGTTATTTTCTATTTATCAAGTTGGACGGTCGTATAAGCGGTTCAATTAACTTTGAACTATACATAGGTATATTGTATATACTGTAATTGTATGTACTATAATATTGTAATTAATACAAGCACGGATCCTGAGCAAAGATCTGGGGGGAGGGGACAACAATTTTTTTACTGGCAAAACACCTGGTCAACTCTACGTGACTACGTACTAAGCTAAACGAAATCAAACCGAGCATTCTCCCATGGCCAACCATTCCACTTCCCCGGCGCCATGAAGTAATTCTTAATAGACTTCGAATAGAATATGGTTAACCCACAAACACCTAATGACCAAAACGAATCCAGAACCATGTCTCTCTTGTGAGTTGTGGCGTAACACCTACAGTCAAGCACATCATATGCTCCTGTCTAGAACAAAACGATGTTAGAGTCAACCTCAAACTAGCTGACAATCTTTATGAAGCACTCGGCCCGGATCCGGACAACATCCAAAAGATATTTACTTTTTTGAAACTAACTAAATTATATAATTTAATCTAAATACGCATTCACGCCCCAAACTTGAATTATATAACTCTCCCTCCGTTTTATCTTTCTATATAAAATTTAATAACAGCCAATAATCTATGTTGTTGTGGCTCATTTAATAAAAAAAAAAAATTTTTTTACAACACTAATAAAATATTATACTTTATTCTTAATTTAAAAATGTTGTCATAATAATAGTAGGTATAGGTAATCCTGGTAAACTCAATGTGTTTAATAAATTATTGATTATTAATTAATATATGAATTGCCAATGTGAAAACAAGTTTAGATTTTGTTTATTTTAAATTTAATATATTAAATTTATTAGTTATAAAAATAATATTTCAGGGGGGCCCTCGCGCAGTTGGGAGCGCCAAAAAAATTCAAAAACGGTCAACAACAATATTGTTCAAGTAACGGCCAACGGTTTTTTATCTAAAGCCGCGGTTCAAGTGTTGAACAGGTGTAACAACCCTGGATACCTAGTTTCACTATAATTGTTCCATGCTTTCGCGCATCCGTCGCGTCTTGCCGCCAACTACCAATATACAAAATAAAAAATCCAAGATTGCCAAAATTAATGAAATAGGTACGGAAATCTCATCTCACACTCAATATTCACTACTCAGACAGTAACCGCTCTCATCCGATATCGTTCTTTCAGCGTTGTGTAAAACTCTGGAAACCGTAAACTCTGGAAACCATTTGGTCCCTCCGTATGCATCTTCGCGGCTTGCCCAGCCTGGGAACAGTATCGAAACAAGCAATAATCGCGAGTCATGGCCAGTATTTTATATTAACCGTCCGGCGGCCAACCACCTGTCGGAGTACATCGAGACGAGTTGAGGGTTCGTACTTCAGTTAGTTCATGGATGACAAGATAGCCTTGACGGAGCTGAGAATACGTCGGAGTTTCGCCGTGTTGGACTTATGTGCAGCTTGCTGACTGTCAATCCATAAATGTCAGCTAACGCCAGGTGATAACGGGATTAGTTTCTATTTCGGTATGTAGTTGTTGTACTTTCGGTGGATCGGTTCGACTTCCGCCGTTTACTGTCGTGCCCTCACATCTCACCATATAATCGAGCTTACGATTACTAATGCGCTAGGTAGGTAGGTACATTAATATATAAATATACTTTTTTTTATCGAAACACGAATTAGGTACATCTTAATACCTAGGATTTCTACAACTTTCGCCGTGGCAATTGCCCTCTTGTCTTGTCATTATTCTATTGTTCCTGATCGTATTATCGTAATTAATTACATTTGTACTTTTGTAAATGCTTTAAAAAGTTTACGATACCAGGAACAGCATTAACTCATGAGTTTTGCTTTATCATAGAATTTTATGTGGTGACGATAGGTGACCAAAGGACATAGCTCCTGTAGGTATTCTGTGGCAGTACCCGTCTGTTCTGACGACTGAAAGTGTGGTACAGTAGATTTAATTTCAATTATTATTCTTCCCTTCAGATGAATGTTTAACAATTTTTCCTCACCTTAGATTTGTATTCCAAATGTTGAAGATCTGTTGTACTGAGTCAGCACTGAGCTAATTGAGCCACGAGTCACTGATAGTCCATCCTGCGACTTGAAAACTCCACTTGTGACTGGTAAGTACTCATATCATACTTGAGAACAGATTTTATTAATAAGAGATGCCGATCTTAGCAGTTAGACAAAGGGCCAATTTTACTAGTTCAGAGGACGTGATACCCGCATAATGTCATCTCCGCCTTACAAGTGTTTAACACAGCAAAATGTATGCTCAGAAGAACATGCGTAGCTCTGTTTATTTAAAAATTAGAGTGAATTTACCTTCTATAAAATCTAAAGGTAAGATTATATATAATATATTATAATATTATTTTGGCAACATCATGGGCTTTTTATTATATTTTAATTTTAAAGCGAGTTATGAGTATTTTAAGATGTACAGATTTACGGTTTTAAAATTAAAATATATTAAAAAGCCCATGTGAATTCACTCTAATTTTTAAATTAACGTAGTTACACTAGTAACTAGTTGTAACTGGCTAATTAATGGTTTGAAATATATACAATACAAATTGTGTAAAAGAATTTCTAGTTAATCTTGCTTTATTAAATGGTTATAAGTTCATCAATGTTGACTTATGCCAATAATTGATATAAATTTGTTATGACCTCTGAATACTGATAAGTCAAAAATATCAATAGATTGTTCATTGGCATATAAAGAAAAGCCATCTAATTAAATAGTTATTACATTTATCTTATAATTTTAAATAAAATAATAAGTTAGGTTATTTAATTGATTGATCTAGTAGTTCTTATATTTTATAATACTTATTTTGTACTAAAATGCAGTTAAAAGTTGCTTTCAAGAATATTCAAACTTATATAATTTAAAGTAATACAATTAATCTTGAATAAGTATAATTTTATTCCATAAAATATGGTAATGCATAATTTTATACTTTATATTACTAATTATTTTTTGTACCTAGCCACGGAAATAAAATGTACTCCAAAGATTTTAAATATTTTATTATAAATTTAATTTGGTATATATCTTGTATTAATTAATAATTATACAGTTTAGTATTTGACAATTGTACTGTTAATATTTAAATATAATATATTAATATTATACATTTATCAGATTATCATTAATTAATAAATGCTTGGAATTAAAATATATAAGAATACCTACCTAACTTCTTATTTAAATAGTTTTCATTATAATAATTTTATCTATAATATTATATTAAACTTTAAAATACAACAGCTTATACAAATTTAAATTAATAAAAAGTGGGTAATTGGATGTCGCTCTGCTGTACAGTAGGTTACAAGTGGTCAGTGTAATGGATGCTATTAAATTTGAATTCAATTATAAGAATAAAAATTCATTGTACAAAAAAAACGATTCTGAGCAAAAACGATCAGTCAGCCTAGGATATTACTAAGTATATTTGATGATATTATTGTGAATAAAGTAATTTATATATTTACCTATTTACGTTGACCATTTTTTTTTAAATTTTCAATCTTTAGCTATAAAAGTTAAACATTTTATAAATTTTTAACTACAAAATAATTATAATTTTAAATTTGATAAATTTTGTCAAAATTTGAACTTTAAATGCTTATAAATAAAAACTGTGCCTAAAATTTTTTAATATTTTTCAAATGTCATTGTAACAATATAATATAAGCCTTGTATTAAATTTTCAAGCTTTTTTACCCAACAAATAAAGTTTTAATGACATTTATAGAAAAAAAGAGGGTAATTGGATGTCGCTCTGCTGTACAGTAGGTTACAAGTGGGTCACTGTAATGGATGGTGTTGTTTGATTGAATTCATTGATATAATATCATTGTATAAGAAAAACGATTCTGAGCAAAAACGTTTAGTCAGCCTATGATATTACCAAGTATATTTGATGATATTATTGTGAATAAAGTAATTTATATATTTACTTATTTACGTAACCCCATGTTTTAAATTTTCAATCCATAGCTATGAAAGTTGAACATTTTATAAAATTTTAACTTCAAAATAATTATTAAATTTTACATATGATAAATTTTGTCAAAATTCGAACTTTAAATGCTTATAAAAAAAATTGTGCCTTTATATTTTTAATATTTTTCAACCGTTATTGTAACAATATTTCAGGAGTTTCGCATTAAATTTTCATGCTTTTTGGCCCAACAGATAAAACTTTAATGATATTTATAAAAAAAAAAAACTAAAAAAAATTGAAAACTAAAAATGTCCTTAAACAAGTCAAAATATTTTCAAAATTTTTCAAGTATAAGAATTGATAAGATAAACATTCAGTAAAATTTTCATGTATCTACAGTCATTCTTTTTTGAATTACAACAAAATAAGAAAATCGCTACATGAGAAATCGAGTGAATATCCAATGTTGTAAAAATTTGAATTTCAAACGCTCATCAAAATTTAATTTGATTTGCTTGTAGACATTTTTGTTTTTTGATAAAGGTAGACAAATTCATGAGGAATCTTGTATTAAGTTTTAAATCTTAAATTGAAAAAGAAAAATTGTTGTGAATTCTTAACTCAAAATAATTTGATAATTTTCATGATTTTTCCATATTTTGTCAAGGTTTGAACTTTAAATGCTTATAAAAAAAACAGACTAAAGATTTTTAATATTTTTCAAATATCAAATGTAACAATATAGTAGGAACCTTGTATTAAAGTATTTTTACTCCACAAATAAAGTTTTATTGATATTCATAGAAAAAAAAACTAATAAAATTCGAAACTAAAAATTACCCTTTACAGTTCGAAATATTTTTAAAATGTTATCGTGTATAGAAAATGCAAATATAAACGACTAGTAAAAATTTCATGTGGTCATTTCTTTTAAAGTTACACCAAAAATCAAAATCGATTTTGCGTAAAAATTCCCATTTTTCATGGTGCTTTTGAAAAATACTGGTAAATTTGAATTTTTTACCTTCTGAAGAACCAACTAGATTCACTTTCTTTTCAAACAAGATACTGTTGAATATTGTATTTCAGTCAATAATCTCATTCCTTAATTGCAAACTTTCCGCAATTCTATAAATTAAATTTTATATTTTTTTGCCACCTTAATTATAATAGTTTTAATGCCCGATACCTATTTAGGGGAAGGGTTGATACTTGATAGAGTATATAATATCGAAAAAATGACTCCACGGTATTAATTCTCAGGCCTAGTAGATTATAATTTTACTAACCTAACCTAACCACATCAAACTCCGATTTTTTATTTTATTTCAAATAATTTTATAATATAATTTGTAAAAATACACTTATAAATATATTATTTATGAAGAAATATTATAAAGTTTGAGATTAAAATATTGGAAAACCGAGTATGGTGCAGACTGTAGAATATAACTCTATTAGTTAAAAATAAATTATCAAATTTGGTTGATTCTACAGAACAGGGTCATTATTCTCATAGAGCGTATTTTTGTGTACAAAATTACATTGGCGCCAGGTGGTAATATGATAATTCAATAAAGTTGAAGTACAAAAATCGGGTCATTTGTCAAACATATTGTTAATTTATGGATTTCTTTATTTCAGATAATATCATAATAATTTACAATGGCTGAAATTATGAATATTTATGCATCAATTAAGTTGCCTCCACTATTGCTGCAATCATTTTCTATCAATAATAACAAAGCCAAATGTATGAAATGTAATATTTCATGTGCACCTGAAGAGGAAGATATTCTTTTCCATCTTTCCGTCTGTAATGGGACCCTTATTGAAGAAAATATTCAAACACTATTTAAATTCAATTGCTTGAAGTGTAATTTTTCAACTCATGTTATTGATCAATGGAAGTGTCATTTATTCAAACTTGATCATATTTCCAAAAATGTTGATTTGAATGTATTAAATTTATCATACGGTTGCAAATTGTGCAATACTCATTTTTACGGTGATAGAGATAGTATACTAAAACATCATTGCAAACCTCAATTCATTCCATGTATATCATATTTAATGGCTTCCGTTTATGAGAAATACAATGTTCAGGATAAACAGACCATGCTTCATTATTGTACGGAATGCTCATTATTCACTGATAATTTAACAGAATTGCACAAGAAGAAACATTGTGAAGTTGCTGACACTTCTGTATGCCATTCATGTCAGATAACATTTTATAGTGCTACTAATGAGGAATTTTTAAACCACAAATTGTCATTTGAACATATGGTTCTGTGGTATTTAAACGGTGCTCGGAGTGTACCAAAAATGTCATCTACAATGTTTCAAAACTTGCCATACTACATAACAAAATATTTTGTTATTAGTCCATTGTTGGAAAAATTTTGTTGTATTGTGTGTAATACAAAAAACATACTAACATATGAATGTATTTATGATCATTTTTACAAATGTATTTCTTCCAAAGAAATTTCTGATGTCAATGGTTGCATTCCGTTGCTAAGTCTGAATTGTAATTTGTGCAATTATTCATGTTTTGCAGTTGATGACATGTACAAATGTTGGGTGGACCATGTAATCAGTTTTGATCATTTGAGTAAAACAGTGGTAGAAAAAAAAAACAAACAGAAATTGTTTTCATATTACTGCTATGTAAGTGAAACTGTATTTTATGGTTCTGATTCTTTTATTACAAACTTAATAATGAAAACGAATAATGATATCGGACGTTTGTTATTTATACCAGATTTAATGGCTACAGTGTACAAACATGTGACAGATGCACATTTCAGCTGTAATATTTTATTTTGTTGTGGAATTTGTCAACATCATTCATTCAAACAGTTTAATTGTGTACATAAAAATAATGATTCAAATCAATCACTTTATTGTTTCACTTGTTTAGTAGTATTCAATGTCAGATCTGACTTCTATGAACATCTTGTTAGTAGTGAGCATATTATTTTGAAATTTTTTAAATCTAAGCAATTAGCCGATCTTAAAATTCTTGATCATAGCATGGAAACAATGAAAATATATTTAACTAATTTAAGTAAAAGTGACGATGATGATGATGATAATGATGATGATGATAATGATGATGATGATGATGATGATGATGATGATGATGATGATGATGATGATGATGATGACGCTGACAACTCTCAAGAGATCATGTATCAGGACAATAATGAAATGATTATTTCCACACAAAACCTAACATCCTGTGATCCAAAAGAAAACTTTATTACAAAATTAATAGAAAAACTATCTGCACAGCCAATAAAGTCTGCATTTAACAATTACATAAGAAAGAATTTTGAATTATTTATCCGAGAGCTGCAAACAGGTAATGATATTGACATATCAATGGTGTTTTACTGTGAAATTTGTAATATAGTTCTCTGTAATCGTGATGTTTGGATTGAACACGACAAAGAGTTTCATAACAAAGATATGGGCTTAAGGGTATTATTCTGTAATATTTGTTGCATTTACCTCGTGAGTGATCAAATTAATACTATTGATCAGCATTTAATGACTATGGAACATGGAATAATGGAAGAATTTCAAAATCAGTTCAAATCTTTAACAAATAACATCAATAATTGTAATAACAACTCTAATCTCACCAATGATCACAAGGATTCTGATTTCAATGTTGAAATTAAAAAAATCAAAAATTTAAATGAATATAATATGAAGAACAAAACTATTTATATAGAAATTAAAAGTGAATATTATTTTATACTCTACGCTAATTTTATTACACTTAAAACATTTAAATTAAACAAATTTTTATTTTTTATTTATAGACTTGAATAGTAATTTAAAAAATAATAATTATATTGTATTAAACAAAATAATTCAAGAACGATATGGTAAATTTAAACTGGTCGAAAATGTAAACAATGCATTTGTGATTCTTTTCGAAAATAAGTATGTTCACTATTTCATTTGTCTGTCATAATAATAATTGTTGTTTATTTTTGTTATTTAATAACCTTTCAGATCCCAAGTTAAACGTATGCGTGAGGATACTAAAGAATTGGAAAACCAGTATGGCTTTACAATACAAATTATAGGAAATCATACAGGTATAAATTTAAAAGAGTCTAAAAGTAAGAATATTAATATTTTATGTTTATCTTTCTAGAAAAAGTATTATCATTGGAAACAATAGATTTATTTAAAGATTGGGGCTTGTTGTGTGCAAGAGTTCTCAGTGATTTAGAATTGATGAATTTGTCATTAACCAGTAAAGAAATACAATCCCGTGTTCAACAATTGTGTGACTCAATATGTAGCTTTCAAATTGGTACATATTCAAATAAGATTCACATTTTTGGTTCTCGAGCTTATGGTCTAGCAACAGATACAACTGATATAGATATATATATGGAAATCGGTAAACAAATCAACTTACAATTATTATTAGCAGACTTAAAAGTATATTTTTTTGTATTTATAAAAAACAAGCATAAAGTTAAAATAAATTTTAATATAGGAGAATCATTCTACTTAATAGAAATATAATATGTTTTAGTCGTTGGTACCTCTTAATAACAATGGGCCTATGTCCTCATTTCCAAACTGGGGCGGCCCTTACTTTCAAATAAAAATTAACATTAATCATACTTTATTATAACTCTAAAATAAATTTTTCTCATAAGGCATTGTTAATAATTATTTATTATGTATATTTTTGTAAAATTAAATATAAAAATTAACATTTTAAATTTGATAGACTGATTAGCAGGGCTCATAAGTTAATGCATCTGCATGTTTTTAGGGTTCCGTATTTCAAAAGAAAACAGGTGTGTACGGAACCCTCGGTGCGCGAGTCCAACTCGCACTTGACCGGTTTTTTTTTTGCTACACAGGAAAAAAATGCTAACTGAGATACAAATCCGTTTCATAACTATAGTAATAATAATATGAAGTTTTATAGTGCATGTTTTTGCATGTTTTTGGTGTAAAGGCATATTTGGTATATAGTCAATTTGTTACAGTCGTTAGTGCATATTATTTCATATTAACATTTTTTAGACAAATATTTGATAAGTTTCTTGTTTCTTATTTACTTTCCCGTTTACAAAATGATAGTGTTTTGATTTATTTGTATTCTCGTGTGAGTGTGTGACTACCTAGTGTCCTAGTATAGCTTGTATTTCATTCCAAATGTTCTAATTGTAGGTGCTGGATAAGGGTATACACAAATTAGACAAAAAAAAACTACCTATATAAGATTTATAATGATGACAAAGCTATTTGAACTTCACAAGTATAAGTTTCATTTTTATTTTATTTTATTAATTTTGACTGTTGAGTATATAAAAATTATAAGCAATAAAATACCTTAAAAATTTATCGATTTACTCTTATTATTTAAAAAAAATTGTTCATGATTTTTTACATAATGGATATTTTGAGTGTATAATTTAAAATTGTTAGGGCATATAAATGCATATTTTCAAACTTTTTAGTGCATATTTTCACAATTTTTAGAGCATATTTTCACAATTTTTAGTGCATGAATGCATGCTTATTTACGCATTTTTTAGTGCATGAAATTACGAGCCCTGCTGATTACCTGGAACACATATAATACAAGTCAACTTATACATCACAATTGGAAGTGTTGCCTTATAAGTTGTGAGTTGTTATTCATTACAAAGGACATTTATAGTCATTAAAAAACATTGACCTGTATCCACCATTGGCATTTTTTTTTAAATTTATATTTGATATGAGCAGTTGTGGGGTATCTTTTGATCTATAATTCTAACTTCTAACGATTTTCTGATAAAATATGCATGTATCAGACAGCAGTGTAAAAATTATATTTTATGTTTCTCAGATAAAATATTATTTATGTATTTGTGTTCTAGTTGAACGTGTCTTTTTGATATGAATCTATTGTACATTTATTGTATACTTATTAAAAAAATAAATCACCGTTTATAAATTGCATCCAGTGATTCTAGTGTATGGGCAGGGTGGGCAGCAGCCCATACCAAAAATTTCTGGTGCCCCTTATTGGGGAAGGGGGAGGAAATGAGAAATATTATTCGCAGTTAAAACCTAATTATAAATCTACTGTTGCCCATACGATAATGTAGTCCTAGAACCGCGCCTGATTGCATCCAATAAATTGCTTAGTACTTCACTGTAGTTGCATAAACATTATTTATATTATTATTATTAATATTATTAGTTATGCATGTTTTAAAACATTTTTAGTTGGTACACATAATATTATATTATATGCATAGAAAATGTGTGTAAAAATAATGGATACTTTTCTCAAATAGTTCTTACAATGTATTAGGTTCATTAGAAATGTTGATGTTTAGTTGGTAGTTCTTAAAATCTTTGATGGTCTGAAAATTGTGGAGCGAGTGCTGTTGAATAATATTGATAATGACAGTGATTTTTATTTACAGATGACACGTTTGACGGAATAATAGCAAATAATGAGGAAATTCAAGTGGAATTTGTACAACAATTTACCAAACATTGTCAATTGAAACCCAAAGTCTTTCAAAATGTGAAATCAATCTGTAATTGCCGTGTGCCTATTGTTACATTTTATCACGTACCATCAAAGTTCATATGCGATGTGTCCTTTAAAAGTGGTCTTAGCACGTATAACACTAAACTAATCAAGTATGTGACACCGTTAAATATTTGGCCAGAAATATGGTTATAATTTGTTTTTTTAAATTTTGTTGCAGATTTTATTTGTCGACAAACATTACTGTGAAGTGGCTGGTCTGTGTTATTGTTAAGATTTGGGCTCTCCAAAATGGTTTAAAAGACAAGAACTTGTTCACCAGCTATGCCTTGGTATGGCTGGTACTGTTTTATTTGATGACGGAAAAAGTGGTTCCATCGTTGATCGAACTCAGGCAAACTGCTACTAAAGCTGATCATAAAGTCATTGAAGGTGCATATTATATTATAATATATTTCTTTTTTCTATTGACGTTATACCTAAATATATATATATTTTTACCAGAATGGGACTGTACGTTCGGAAAATGTTCGTTCTATATCAGTGAAGATAAACGCCCAAAACTTTTAATGGGTTTTTTTCAATTCTATGCCAATAAGAAAGCGTTAAAGGACAATGTACTGTCTACTAGCACTGGTCGGTTAATAAAAAAGCATGCATTTTATGAAAAGTTCAGCCAGTTGCCTGGACTAAGTAAAATACAGAGAACAAAGTTTAAAAACTTTAAAGCCAAAGTTGATTCAAATTTTGAAAAAAATTACGGACTGGTTTTGCAGGATCCATTTGAACTGTCATTCAATCTAACCAGGAATTTACACAATCAAGCTTTGACAGACTTTTGTGATCTGTGTCATCAAAGTTCAACCCTTTTGATTAATATGAAGGGTTACAATATGTTTTCTAATACTTAATATTTTTTATAATTCTAATTTTTTTATGTTTAACAAATGTTCTGGACTTAAATTAATAATCTTTGTATTAAATAATGGTAAATTTAAACAAAATGTCTAAAAAATACAATTTTGTATAAATCTTTTGAAATTGCAAAATAAATAAATAGATATAATAATATATAATATGAGTTTTAATATTGAATTTTGAAAACAGTTATGTCAATAGATAATTTACTATATTATGCATGTCAGTTTAAACTTGCTGTGTACATACATTTAAAATGTAAAATGTATTAAGTATCCTGTTTTTTGAAGATAAATAATTATGTTCGTCCTTTGATATCTGTTATCTTACAACCAATGTTATTTTGACCACGAGCCCGGTTTTAGATACTTATACATGACATGCCTATTTTTATTTTTCATATTTGAAGTCAAAAAGGTGGACAAGTGGGTATTGCTAAAAAAAAAATTAAATTGCTAAATTAAATTATATGCTAAATTAATTAATTAAATTAAATGCTAAATTAAAAAAAGTAATAAATATGAAGACTTGTTGCATCTTTAGTTTATAGGCAGGTACACTGAAAAATTCTTATTTTTTGATAAATTAAAAAATTATAAATATTTACTTTAAAAATCAATTACATGACTCATAAAAGTGGTTTATTATTTTTCTCATACAAATAAATATATTTATATTTTGATAATTGAATGTGTTACTTTTCCTTCTTCTTCATCAATGTCTGGCACTTCCAGGTGAATTTTTAACTGGCATAACTTTTCTAGCACAGTAATACCTTGAAAATAAAATTAATTTTGTATTTTTATATACTTTTTAAATTGATTAATTTACATACTGCATACTTAGAGTTGTTAATAATAGCTCTTACCTTCTCCTCTGTTGTTACTATATTTACATTCCCATGCATCAAGAAGCATATTATAATATCTGGAGCTATTGAAGTATTTATGATATTTAAAAGATGAAGTGGTTGGAAATACTTTCTGAAATCTAAAATCATAAAGAATTTAGTAGTATGTTTTTGTTTTATGTATTAAGTTAGTAAGTTACAAATGTAGAAAATAAAAATGTATTAATGAAATACATACGAGCCAACTTGTGTAAGTTCATCTTCATACACAATAAGATGTCGAATATCATCTGGTAATAGATCTTCCAATATGCTATCAATATACTAAACAAATAAGATTAGGTGTAATTAATTTATATGTACTTTTAATTGTAATCAATAATTTTGTACTTCTTCTCTAGATTCAATATTTGTATAATATTCTTGTTTTTCTTTTTCTTTAGCAGATAAATTCAATGTATATAATCTCTTGTCATAACATAGTGTTGATTTGACTCCTAACACCTTGCGTAAATAATACTACACAAACATTTTAATTTAATAAAAATATTTATTGATGGTTAGTTATGGAAATTAGTTATTAAGTTAAATTAATATTTGTGCAATCGATTATAACTCACATGTGTATTATGGTCCATATTGTTTGGGATATGATAACCAGCCATATTCAGGAGATCTTTGACTAATGGTCCTTTGACAGCCAAGTCAAGTGGAGAAGATGAATGTAATGAAGGAGATATATTTACCTAACGTGGTACATGTTTTATTAATCAAAAGTATAAACTTGTAATTTTAATAAGGTACCTCTAATATCCAAGGTTTAAGATATTCATCAAACAAAACATCTATTCCAAATAACTCATATGCGTTATATCTATTGCTCAGATTTGAACTACACATTTGACTCATAGGTGATTCACCACTAATGACCGTTTTTACAACTAGATCTTCTAAGCTCTTCCATAATTGTTTAACATCAATCTTGCGTTCATTCTCCATATACGTCCATAGTGAACGTAACGTCCTAAGTAGTTGTAATTAATTAATAATCGTTATATTATTCTAAATTTAGATTCTAATATTAAGTCTAAAATAAATACACATTTATACAATATTGAATATATTTACCATTTATGACCTTGACATGCATCAGCATCTTCGTTTTCAGTATACTGACTACTAAGTCTGTTAATGCTGTAATTTGTCAAATGCATATATCTATCAGATATAGTGGTAAGATCAGATGAATACTTAACTGAAATATTAAAGAAAAATAAATAATAGTATCAATGATACAACAAAAAATATTATACCTGAAGCAAAACGTACAAGCCCATTATCATAAAGATACAAACGAAGAGGATTGATTGAAGTGATGAGTATATAGAGTCCAGGGGCGGATTGGGCCACCGGGAATTCGGGAGTTTTCCCGGTGGGCTGCTTTTTCAAATAACTATGTATTCTTAAATTCCTATTAGGTACCAGCCCAGTAAATTTGCATGTTTTTCCGATTTTTCAAAATAAGATAATACGAATTGGATTGCGGACAGTATGCAATAGTAGGTATATCAGGTAGGCAATCTACCTACGGTGGATTGCTGACACAACGATGAGAGACAGGAAGCAAAAATATATTATTTCTCGAAAAGCAAAAATAGCAAATGTAATATAGCGGGGTCACTATTGTTAGGACAGTTAAAATCGAAAACAACCCTTGATATGTTATGTAAAACCACATTGGGTGATCTCTAGGTAACGATAAACTTCGGAAAAAGTCTACTTTACTTGACATCCCGCGGAAGTAGAAAATAGAATAAGTCAACCTGATTTGAGCAGTAAGCACTGTAATACCGAAACCTAGACAGGGTTTAAATTTCCGAAAATTGTTTCATACACTTTTAATTCAGTATACTAATGCGGAAGTACACGTATTTCGGGTGTAAAAAATTTGAGCGTCATTCGTTTGGGCGAATAACCCAAAATTAACTTGAGTAAAGAATATATCATTTGGGCGAGAAATTAACCGATCGTTTAGGCGAATTTATAAATTATTGAATAATAGGGAAGTAACATTACGTAGGTATACAATAATTTTTATAATATTTACTATTTAGGTACTACAGCTAAATATTATTATTATATCGTTTCGGCTGCAGATTGGTGAATACAGATACTGAACTATAATTTGTTAGATTGTACTAAGACGGAGACAAAACATTTTACTCAATATTATATTACATAAAAATACTAAAGAAAAACAAGACTATACAATTTTTCTGGTTGTTTAGAATTAAAGTACCTACATAATGTTATTATGAATAAACCACAGTAAAACATTTTTTTAGAAAATAAAAAGATAGTAGATACACATACATTTTGCATGTTGATTCTGTTAATTTACCTATCAGGTATATTAAGTGGAAGTTAATTATAAGCTTTTAAGTCTAAAAACGCATTATTAAATATTATTGAATAGGTAATATTGTAATAACCTTTCTTATTAAATACAAAAATCGTAACATTAGTAATTTAAATTATTCACTTTTACTGTGTTATATAAGTACTTGGATTTTGGACTATTATAAATGTGTAAACATAAACTGTTCAAAAATAAAAATAAATTTGATATCGATGTATAATGTATATACACTACGAATAAAGTTTTATAAATTTCATATCTCGCCAAACGTGTAGTCATGTTAAAATAGTAATACATAATAATATTATGTTGGCTAAAATTAAATATTTGGTAAATTGGTAAGTGGGCCGGTATACTTTGTATTTTCCCTGGCCGAAATCTCTCCCCAATCCGCCCCTGATAGAGTCTTAAATCAAATTTGGTGCCGTTGATTAAATATGGATTATCTATGTACCTTTGTACAACTAAAGGTATATTCCTTGGTATTTGAGACCATTTTGATATAACACGAATTCCAGATCCTCTAACAGATGCTGGCTATAAATAAAATAAAAATTCTAGATATTAGTTTAATCATTATTGTTAGGATTCATTTTAATAATAATACTGGTTTAATAATCCATTTGTATTGATCATTTTTCTCCCAAACTCGTCGTAAAATTCTAACTTCTTGAGGTAATATATATGATGTGGGTATAAAGCCAAAATGTTCTTTGCCATATTTTAACATTAACCGTTGCAAATTTTTCCACAACCTATCTTTATGACCAATTTGAAAAGTACCTGGGAAATGGTTCAGTTTTTGCTGTTCCCAAAGTGTCTTGAAACATAACGATTTCATTTGTTTATCCCAAGTTCCCACCCAATCATTCGATTCTTAAAAACAATAGTAATAAAAACAAACATTAATTATTATTATTGACATTTAAGTAGGATAATACAAAAGAAAAAAGTACAGATATACTCACTGGATCGTGGTAACATCATGAATTCATTAGGTGGAGAAGCTACACCACAGTAAGTGTCAACTACAGGAGGTGTAACACCACAGTGATTTTGTAAAGAGATGGGATTTTGATTGGATTGATTACTACTTATGTCTGAAAGATCAGTTGTATGTTGAACTATAAAACCACTCCTTTCGAGTTTAAAACCACTGTTTTGAATTGTCCGACGTACAACAATTGGAGTAGTAGAACTTATTTTCCACTTTAATAACCATTTCAAACACACTGGAAATGATTCACCTGTAATACAAATTATTATCGAAAAATGAATAATTTTCAACCGAGTATTAAATAAAATCGTCGGTGGTTACCTTTAATATCATGTGATGAAAATCTTATGTATGGTGGCATATGAGAAAATAAACTACGTCTTAGGGCTGAATGATATTCAACATTTTGTTTTTGTTTTTGAGCACCTGAACATTCAGTATCCAAAATTCGATAAGGTCTTACTTCCCAGGGGAAAAAACAATTTTTTGCTGAAGATCCACCGTGTTCAGAATTAATGGCCATTTCTTTTGTTAATATTGAGTATGATTTATTGTTTATTTTATATTGACTTGTATATTATAGCAAAATAACTGTTAGATTTGTCTGTAGAAATAAAAACAAAATTTCATAAAATTAAACACAACAATAAGTATAATTACATTTATTTGAAAACATGTATCTAATTGACCAAAAGAGGAGAGCAAGGTGTAAGATGTATTTTAGGTAGATGAGGTCAGTAGTTAGATACCTCTAAACTTAATATGATTTTTATAAGAATTTAAATTAAATATTGTGTAGGTAGGTAACACTTTGTCATAATTACAACATCAGTCCAAATATTCTTTTGGTCTTAGTGAAAAATAGGACTGTAGGTACTAGGTGGCCTACCTAGTTTAATCAATGTATTATATCAGACAATTTTAAAACTGTCTACTTAGATCCAATACTCTTTTAAAAAATTTAATTTAAATCTATTCATAAGTTCAAACATGTTCAAACTGTTTAAAATGTAACTAGTTGGTTTAGACGTTTAGTTCAGACATAAATAGGTAGTTATTATATAGGTACTCTGTACACCGAGAGAACATGCCATCGCACAACAAAAATCGGTTCTTCTGGGCATACACACTCTACTATCTGCCATAGTAAAACCGGTATCGATGGAAAGATGTCACATGGGGATACGTAGATTTGGTTTGTTCTCTCGATGGACAGAGTATAGGAACGAATTACGAAATTAATTAATTAAGTCAAGTACTAACTTACAACTTACAAGAATACGTATAGATATTATAGAGACTTACTGTATGTTCACAATCAATTTAAAAATCCACTTCATAGTCTTCAAGGTTAAAAAAAAAATAATTTATTAAAATTTGTAGCTCGCGTAAAAAACGGGATTTTAATTCAAGCCCGTATTATAAAAAAATTTAAGTTAAAAAAGAATATAATTAGACATAGAAAAACGTTAAAAAAAACTCACCATGGATACTCACGATCATTTATTATAAAAAAAAAATAAAAAATTATATTATAACGGGGACGACTTCAACAGGTGTGATTGTTGAGTACTACGACGACAGTGGATACGAGCTGTAACCGCATGCAGGTTAGTGTATTATTATGGTAAAGACTCACTACGACCAATCTTCTAAACCAGAGACATTTCAACCGACGGAAAACTGTTGTCGACAATCAATCAGATTGAAAACACGTGGTTGGAAACGGTGAAAAACGTCGAATGTAATAATTGAACACCGTAGTGGGCGATTAGTTTGTTTTCTCCCAAAGTAGGTAATCGTTATGGCTTATAATCAATTGTATAATATAATTAGCAATGAGTGAGGCTAAATACATGGTAATATATTTAATTTTATGGCATTAAGCATACAAATATAATTTTATCACAACTATTACTTATGTAATAATTCAATTTTGTAGCATTGTACGATGGAAATTCAGAAATGCAAATGTCTATTGTTCATAAAGCTCAAGTTAATTGTATTTCATTTTGCACTTGGGATCCAAAAGAGTCGTTTTCAACTAGTCATGATGGATCTGTCGGATATCTATGGTGACACTGTTAAACATACTTTTGATATTGTCAGTAAAATATATTTACTTAAGAGATGATCATTGTTTTAATTATATTAATTAAAGTTATATTATTTAAATAAATAGATTTATAAATCAGAACGGAAGTGTATAATAGTAGATCAAATATTAATCACACCACATGGCACAGTGACTGTGAAAGAAATCTTCGCATTGGAAGTGGTACCTATGTTCTATGACTGATGTCTGTTAGTTGTTATACGTAGGTAATGACTAATGATACCTATAGAATCTATAGTATAGATCAAGTGTTTATAATTTTACTTAAATATTTAACATTTCATGTAGACACACGATTACCAGATAAAATTATCAATTCTGCCTGGTGCCATAAAATATTATGTGTGTGTTCAGTTCCATGTCACCCATTGTTAAAACATTACTTTTTAACTTCGTCTGAAATTGGGTAATCCTAAATATACTATAATAGTATAATGGACACAATTACATTAATAAACTGCTTAAAATACTCATTTTACTTTTCTATAGATATATGAACTACATAATGAGTTTAGAAATTAACGTAGGTACCATTGTACTACATTTACTATTATGTAATAAGTATTGTATTATTTTATTCTAATTGTATTGTAATAATTATTTACAATAATAAATTTAACAATACATTAAATTGTAAAACTATAGAATTATTAGACAGTAATAGGTAATTAAATCTCGAAAATTATAAATTATAATTAGTATCTATAACATATTATATATAGGTTAGGTTAGGGTAATAAATATCCCACCAAAAACATATATGTAAAATGAGAGCCAAGTTCAATACCTACTATAATATATGCCTTGGTTGTTGAATGTTGACTTCAACGACAAAAGAAGTGAGATCTAAATGGGTGCCAAGTTAGGATAATATATTGAAGCCTAAGGTCTGACTCAGCTAATTTTCACTAGACACGCTACCGCGTATATAAAACTATAAAAGTAATGATTCAAAGCTGCTATAGATATGTATGCTTAAATAAATACTTTACTGAAGTAATAAGTAGTATAAATAACTATAAATAGTAATAAATAGTATCGATATACTTTAAAGTTTAAACACTATAGACTTACTAGTTACCATAAATATATTACTAATTTAACATTTTTTAATAAGTTCATTTTTACTACGCATGTCTATTTTATAAGAATTTGTTAAATGTTTTGTACTAACATTCATTCAAATTAAATTAATCACAGTTTAATTCGAATGTAAAACTTTATTTTATATTATTATTTATTAAAAAAATAAAACAAAACAGAAAATAAAATTTTTTTTTTACGTGTCTCGTATGCATTAGAAACACATGAGTGTTAGGCAGAATTTCTAATGGGGCCCCGTAGGTTTCTGCTATGCCCCGGAGTGGGGGATTGCGGCACTTATTCTCCGGACACCGTGACTTGCCCGAAGAAAAATGCCGCCCGGTGACCAAGGATCGAACCCGGATCGGCTGCGCCGTTAGACGCTCGGCCACCTCGTCCCCCAGAAAATAAAATAGTTAATAGGCATTGGACACTATTATTATACATATATTAATAGGTATTATTTAATGATAATTAATATAATTGAGATAATGTTCTATGTTTTTTTTTATAAATGCCATGCTTTTCATTATCATCTATGGACTATGAATATATAAAACTATTAGGTACCTAAGTATTATTGTATTTGTATTAACTAGGTATTTACCCATATGAATCTGGAGTGGCAAGTATCCAAAGGACAGACAATAACTGTTTTTCAATGGAATTTCCGGTCTTCCTGTTTTCTTTTCTCTATTGTAATTCATGTTGTTTTGCTTTTGACCAACATCTATCATGGGTAATAGAGTATTATATAACACTGATCTGCATAATCTAAAATATGTATAAAGAAACATGTTTATCTCTATTTTGTAATTTAGGTACCAGAATGCATAATATTATATATTTTTTATTACTAAAACTTTTATTTACCTAAAGTGACTGAATAAACATTATCTGAACAATAAACAACAACATTTTCAATTTAGTTTTTTATCCTGATTGGAACCTCTTTCTCGTAGGTTAAATCTTCATCATCGTCAAAAGTAAATAGTCCACAGTCTAAAAGTAATTTAAACGAACTACTTGCCGCTATGGCTAGAATTTTGTGATGGCTAGTCATAATAAAATAATTACCTACAATTATAACGCCTTCCACTACATCTAACCATATTTTTCTTAGTCGTCCTCGAGATCTTTTTCCCGTAGGCTTCCACTCCAGGACTACTCTGTTTATATCGTCCTCACTACGCAGTACTCCGCCACATGTGGCCTAGCCATTGGATCCTTCGTCCCCTGATGAAACTTACTACTGATGCCATTTCCATTTCTTCCTGCAGCTCTTTGTTATACTCTCTCCTCCATAGTCCTTTTTCATTATTATACACTGGTCCACAAATTATCCTCCATATTTTGTTCTCAAAGGTTCTGAGTTTTCTTTCTGTACTGCTTGTGGGGTAGTCCATGCCTCTCACCCATATGTGAGTGTGGGTCTTAGTATTTCTGTGTACAGCCCTGCTTTAGTTTTTTTGAAAAATACTTTTAGAGCGTTAGTTAAATAATTTCTTATTAATCATCATGTAAAAATGACAAACACCCATAAACTTTTTTGGTAGGTAAGTAGCTCTTTGCAGTGGGTAACATACTACAACAACCAAGTAAAGGTAGGTAGCGATAGGCGTGCGCACGGGTAGGGCTGATTGGGGTTTAGCCCTACCTGAGATTTATTAATACGTGGGTGGGTTGGTACCTTATGAAGACTTAAAGTATAGTAAAGTATAGCCCTTTTAGTTTTTAAACGTTTGTGTTTTCCTGAGACTATACAGAGCGATTTATTTAAAATTGAACACTCATTATTTCAAAAAGTATAATTGTTTACTTTTTGAAAATATTTTTTTACATAGTTTAGCCTTTTACAAAATAACTTTGTTATTAAAAAATTATCCTTCTAATTTTTTTTTATTGACAACAGAGTTTTAATTTCATATTTCAAAGTAGAATACTTTTCTAAATATTTCGTTACATAAAAAAATCAAGTTTAGTGCGAGTAGTCTATGCGTTATAACTTATAAGTATTCAAAGTTTAGATGAACGGAGTTGAGTGGTAAGGAGTTACCCCGCGAAATGTATGTCCGCTACTCCACTCATCTAAATTTTAATAGTTATATCATAAACTATTAGCCCTAAAAGTCGATTTACCATGAATAATTTATAATAATAAATAAATACCTATAAATGTTAATTGACAATTTTTAATATTATATATTATATTTTGAACGTTTTAGAATTATTTTTTTTTATTAGATTATATTTGGTTAAAATTTAAATCAATATTGATGGATTTTGTATGTGTGAAATAATTAAAACTGGTTGTTTACATTTTCCAGTAACCAACAAAAGGGTCACTTAAAAGTTTATAGTGAAAATGTCTATAATTTTTTTCTTGTGTGACCATGACAAGGGGGTGGGTGATCAGATTGAATTTAGCAATACTCCACTCAAAGGTCTGCGCACGCCTATGTAGGTAGCGTACTACACGAGTATCAATGATTCTATATAATAATAATATATTATTTACGGTACTGACACATAATGTGTACAAAATTTGGAGAACAGTAACCAAACACACACAATCACACAGATCATGTCAATTGAATTAAAAACAAAATAAATAATACCAAAAATAAAAATATAATTATTAGAATGCTGTTTGAAGCTATTGTCTATAAACATGTACAAAAGCTCAATACAAAAAAAGTAAAATTAATCAAAATTATCAGCCTTGTTAAAATGTAGAACTCAATAAACAGTTAGCAGCATTGTTATTAGCAATAAATAGACTATTACATTAAAAATTAAAAATAATTGCTCACAAAAAAAAATGATTATTTATTGAAGTACAGTATATAATATTAGAGAATATTTAAAAGTTGCATTTGGGTTAAGCTGTTAAATTAATTAGCTGTTACACATTGAACAAAACAAAAATATCTATACAATTGAACTCTTGGATGAAACCAGCACAATTGTTTAGATACACTGTTACTATTGGTTACCACAGAGAGTTGTGATGAAATTTAAGATCTCGTTTCACGGAGTTTCCATCTTGGTCAGTTTTGAATGCATTACTATTTTCAGGATGTGGATTTGTTTCTTTGAACTGGTGATCCACACTAAATAATTGAAAAACATTTTAAGCTAAAATTAATGAAATCTATATTATTATAAATTTGAATACTAACAAATCTGTGTCCTGGTTGTATTTGAACTTCACAATCGCAGCATCGCCTTCGCCTTGAACTATCTATAAATAATAACAATGATATATTACTCTCATAAATAATATATATAAGTTGTTGAATTAACACTTACCTCGCCCATCGTATCATGATGTTTATGAGCCCCGTGCCGTCCAAACATTGGCTGTCGCATATACGATACAGCTCTAACATAGTAAAATAGTAATGTAAAATAATGATTTTTTTTTATGATTCAATATCTTTAGAATAAATATTTACCTGTGTCCACTATTGTCATGATTCTTTTCATCATCTATAAATTATTAACATAATTTATTAATAATTGCATTCAGTAAAGTAAAAGTATATTCTGGATTTTAATGTTCATACATATATTTTTGTCAAGCTGGGCTAGTTGGTAATTTTTTTCAACTAGTTAAAGTTAAGTTTGGTAGTTTAAAACAAACTAATAAAGTTAGAACTTAGAATATAAATTAGTTTCAGTAATTTTCCAAATTTAAAACTCTAAAAGTTAATTCAGTGAAAATACTAAATTATGATAGGGTAGGAGTTTGTTTTTTTATAGATTAAAATATAAATTTAAAAACACGTTTATAAAAATATGTAATATATTTCATAAATTACTCGGTATCTAAAACAAATTATTGGTGACAATTATAATGGACAACTGATAATTTGATCAAATGTTTCAAGTAGGTAGGGTAATAACTTACTAATAACCTTAATTTCTTGGAAACAATTTAGAATATCAGTCATTAGAATATTTTACAAAATAAGAAATATACAGATAGTTTAATACTGTATTTGTATGTGTATATTAATAGGCTATAGGCCTCATGGTTAAGAATATAACTTACTAATATAAAGAATTGATAAGAAATAATATGACAAAACATGTTATTATTATGATGGCTATAGATACTAATCGGCACTCGGCAGTTATACAAAATATTTGGATTTTTGGAATGAAAAAAAAACTATAAAAATAACTAGTAGTACCTTGTTACTTATTTTTTTTTTATAAGTTAGATTAGATTATTTTACACGTTCAATTCAACTTGTTAAGTTACAAAGTAAATTAAAAAAGTAACTATCAAACTTAACTTTAACTTTCTAACTAGTAAGTACAATTCAAATCAAAAAGTTTATTTTACATAAAAAAGTATATCCGTGGTTGAGAGAATATTTTGATATACATTTACGTAATTGTATCATCAATTTTAAAAATCTAAAAGTACGGAATATGTAATATGTATAAAAGCATTATAGAACTCTTACGTGCGTCATCAAAAAATTCTTCATATATTACAAAATTGTTTCCTTGGTTAACTAATTTGGATAGTTGATAATGCTTCCACATAAACTGCAATAATTTTTTAGTTGGCTTGTCAATAGCCAAATGTTTGGCTTCTAAATTTATATCCTAAAAATGTAACATAAATTTTAAGTTAAGAAAAACTATTTGATTTTGCCAAAAATTATAATCTTTGAAGTTTAAAATATTCAGAAGTTAGTTACCTGTAACATGCATTCGATCAAACGTTTTCCATAACCTTTGCGCTGTTTGGACTCATGTATGTAGAAATCTAACAAACAGTAGACCATTGCTTCTGACCGCGAGCCTGCTTTGTTATATAGGTATAATTTTTTCCATCCCATCTTCAAAATTCCAACGACACTGAAATGTCTATACAACAAATACAAACAATGAACAAACCTTACTGATATTAAATGTTAATATTTAAATGGGCGTGATTTTTTTAAGACAGATTAATACATTGAAATTATAGAATAAACTGAGCACAGTTAAAAAACAAACAAAATATATTATGTGTTCACTCAATAGTCAAATCAAAGTGTCACTAATGAGTGACTTCTTCCTTCGATGTTTCTTATTTTGTTTTTTTCCACGTTAAGTATGGCATCTATCAAATATTATGCATTTTCTGTATAGATGGTTTATCTCAATATATAAGTTAAAGAAAAAAGTGTTTACTCAGGTTTATCGTGTTCTGTCATCATGTAGAGAATGTGATCGGAATTGGCTAGCTTGTCGCCGCTGGTTATGGGCATCTTCAATTCTTGAGCAATGGCCGAAGCTTTACCCATCTCGTCAATGATCATTTTCATTATGCTTTTCAACCTATACACAAAAATTAATAATAAGTAATAACACAGCAATAACAATATTATCATCTAAACCATAGACGTATAATATAATTTTGTCATATTATACGTCTATAAATTAAACCCCCTCGAACTCTCCAAATTTACCCGGGACCATTTCTAATTCGATACACACCCATCCACACACACGTCATACACTAACCACAGTCACCCCAAGCCAGCATAAAATTACTAATACACTGTCATCGCCCTCACCCCTGGTGTTGGGTTAAGTTACTCTTCATAGCGGTAACTTAGGAACTTAATAATAATAATACGTAGGCACTCACTCATCATTTTTCTCGTGTCCCAAGGCCGTCAGCGTGTTGTCAATCTTCATCACCTCTTCGGTGGCTACGTTCTTAATGTTGAACTTGAACTCCATGACGCAAAACTACGAATATTTTAGTACTCGGCGAAGATACCAGACGGGTAGAACGATTATTGTCGGTCGTACACTAGCAACGCGAAAACCTAAAATGTGCTAATCAATTTGTTTCGTTTTCGTCTAGTAATTATCGTCGGGGAGGCGTGAATCCGGAATCGTATCGACTGAGGACGCCCGTAAACGGTAAACCTTGGAAATAAAGTGTCGCACTGCCGCAGTAGGCGGTCGAGCAGGCTAGTAATAAATAAAATCGGCCGTGAACGATTCGGTACCTAGTTTAGGTAGGTACCAGTCTGTATATCTACAACCGTGGTCAAAGCTGGCTGACAAGGGTAGGAACAGGATGTAAAAAATATTGATAAGACGACTTTTACCGCCAAATGTTTAGTGTACGGGCACAATGATAACGTATAACGTTATTGTTCTATGATAACGCACAACCTGGTCAGTGGCGGGACTCCGCAAACCGTCATAACTCATAAGCACGATTGAAGATAAATAATTAGTATTATTCATTATCATTATCAATTATTTATCATTGATCAATAATATTAATTATTCATTTATATGTCTTGGTCACTGTTCTTCTAATCTTCAACCGGTGGTACATTACCATATTTGGGGGCCTTTTTTTCAGTTCGTTAACGTAGGTCACAGATAACAACAGGTTGTCTTCTACAGCGGTAGCGGTGTATTTATGAATTGTTTCCTCTTAAGGGAGGTTGAGGACTTTTCTAAGATCATGTCACTTTTTGTCAATATTTTTTTTACCTACTCAAGATCTTAAACTAAAAAAAACTGATGATGAATGAAAAAGAAGTATTAAGACTGAATCACTACAAACAAAATTGAAAAAAGAAAACCTAATCTGATCTCAATTTATTTTTAAAAAATCAAAAAAATAATTTTTATTGTTTAATTTTAGTGTATAAGTATTATACGTTCAAAAGTTAGTTAGGTACAAAGTTAAAAATGTTTTTACTTTTATTTTTATTCGAGTCTAAGTATTTTATTTGTTGTTTAAGTATTATTAATATTATCCTGATAATAATATGTTGGTTACATTTGTACTATTTGTTATACTTCAATAAATATTTTTAAACTAAATCGATAATTTTGGTCACTTTTTCACTTTTTAAAATTATGAACACAGTGGCAGCCCTTAATATTATATATTATCATTCAACTAACTTGCATCTATCATCGTTCTCGAATATAAAACAAAATATGCGGGTTATTAATAAAATAAACATGACAAACCCAATATTATTTTATTTTAATTTAATAGTTTTATTCAGATATTATATTGTCTTAGCTAGATTACAATCACAGTATCTCGAACTAAGAAGCCCTAAGGCCGAGCACAGTTTGAGAATCTATACTCAATATGTCCTTTGCTGTTTGCCTGTATAGGTAGTGTATAGAATACCAACTAACAAAATTATTAATCATTTATCTTTATACCTGAGCTCATGCCCGTTGGTATAAATAAAATTAAAAATTAAAATTATTATTAGAATATCGCATTGATTATTTTTGTTAGATTTAAAATAGTAAACAATTATAATAAAAAATTAAGTTTCCTTTCTTTGGTGGCCAGTAACTGATATGTACTAATATGTACCTAACCAGTGTCCAGTATGTTCACCAATAACTTCGCCAATATTTAAATCTATTGTTATTTTTTAAACAAATTGAATGCAAATAACTAAACAGTTGACATCAGTAGAAGCCAACTGCCAATTGCCAAAATTCTCTAAAACAATTGTTAATACCTAAAAAAAAAAAACAAGGAGGGTCTATTCCCCAAAATATACTACTGGTCTTCAAGCAAACACAATAATTTACCGGTATGTACTTGTATAGATGCCTCGTGCAGTCGTACATACAACAAATCGATGATTTTTTCAAGCGGGGAAGTATGGGTAATTGCCAATGGGACAAGGTAAGCACTATTTAGTGTAGACCATGATTTTTTTTTGTCTATCGACATTTTAATGACTACCACAAGAGTGACTACGACAACCTTCAAAATAACAGTAATCTGTTTATTTTGTACATTTTATAAAGTTGGTAGGTAGCGTTGTTTTTTTGCTGATTAAGTTGGGAAAAATACACAAGTTGTATGTACCTATATAAATATTACATGGATAAGGGATCCAATTGCTCCAAGTGACCATGGTATATTTTTAACACCACGTAATTGACTAGCGGAAACTCCAAGGTTCCTGAACTTGTCAGTTTGAATATTACCAACACTTTCTGAAAGATCCTAAAAAGTCTAATAAAACCTAAATTTTCATATACTTTTCAAAAAAAGTACCTCATTAGTACACGGTAGTTTAAGTCAGTGTTAATTGTTATTATTGTCATATAATCATACTTCACAGGATCAGCAACCACCTTCACCTCGTACAATCTACAAATAAATAATAACAACACTAGGTACATATATTTTTTATCATATCCATATTTAAGTCGTCGAATTAACCAACTTCGACTATCATACAGTAATGTGTAGTTGTGTCTATCGACCATCGTCGGTAGGTATAGGTACGTCCAGCATCCAGTCCACATGAAATGTCACAAATAGATTTATATTATAGAAAACTTCGTGTAAACAACGTGTAAATAATTTTCTTAAAGTGTAGAAAATGTGTGTTGAGTATTTTTCGTAAACTTATATTGTGAAAAATTGAATCATTCAGTTGGCTAATGACAATTCAACTGTCAAATGTGATGCATGTACAATTTATTAACAACAATAATATATACAAAGTTATTAATAAATTAGTATAAAATAAAATGTATAGAATTTATTTAGTTTGAAAAATATTCTATTCCAGTGTTTTCCCTACACCTAGGTATAATTTTGCTAGTATATTTTACATTCGGAACATCTACCTATATTACTCATTTAGACAATCGATTTATGTAAGAATGGACTGAGAATGGAGATAGCATGCGTCGTCTCACTGTCCCAGTCTTAAAACGCACAAAAACGAACAACATGACAGACTTATGATCAGCGACCAATTTTGTGCAGTAATGTTTAGTAAAATACTTAAGCTTTAAGAGGACATTAGGAATAAATAAATATCTAAATATATCCAGTTCAGAAAATCTCGTACTTTTTTTTAACAGAATCCAAAAGATAGAAATACTATGTCAAAATAAATTTACATTACCTATATTACATAATATATACCTACTAGGTATATAAAATATAAGTATAAAATTATAAATGTTAAATTATTGTTGACATGTAGGATGTATATTGTATATAGGTATCATAATTAATAAATTATAAATGATTGCAATTTGCAGTAAAAAGATTTTTTTTTTATTCATCTTTGTAGTAAATATTTTATATAAATCTGAGGGTTGTATTTATAGTCGATGGTTAAGAATAAGTGAAATAAGTAAATGGATAAGAATGCTTAGTTTTTTAAACTGTAATACCTACTTACTCTAAATTTAAATTAGGTACATACAAATAAAACTTGTAGAAGATATATTATCTTCTTCGTCTTGAAGAATAAATTAAATATGAAGTACCTACTGGTAATATACTACCGCCTACCTATATATTATATAATTTACACAAAAGATAATGTGAACTTGTGAAAATGTTTAGACAGTCAAGTACTTAATGTCTATAAGGTATATGTTTTACTAGGTGGGTTACCGGCGTTTACTAAACATATAATACAATTAATGTCAAATTATGTAAAAATCGTTTGTAACCACGAAAAAATGATCTGTTACCCACCCACAACCACTCGAAACAAAGTTTTTATATGGCAGTACCGTTACGAAAGTTTGACTTCGAAATCATTTGTAACCCTCTTTTAAAATTATTATTAGTAGGTACTTCGTACTTAATTACCATTTACCTTATTGTACTTATAGATATCGTAACAACTAAAACTATGTAAATGTATATACTATATACTAACAATGTTAAACAATTATGTTGTTATAATTGTTGTTATCAATAGCATTGTGCGGATTATTTGTGCGGGAAGAACCTCACGTCTGTCGTGGTTAACCAAGACCGGTCAAAGGGTTTGCTATGAGGACGAATAATAATAATAATTATACTCCATGTTAATTATAATTTATTGTCTATAGATAATATAAGTATATAACTACACCATATTATATTACCTACCTTTTGAATTAATTTAGCCATATAATGAAGAAGGTTACAAATTGTATATTATTATATTCCGTACACTCATGACGCATTGCGGCGGTAGCAGTAAAATTCAGCCGAACACAAATTATCGATGTAAAGTGTGCGGACCAGGTTTCAGTTAGCTGCAGGTCAAACTTTCGTAATATGACACGCTGTATAACGTCGTCATCAGTGGCGTAATTAGAACTGCATTTTGGGAGGAGGGGATTAATCTTTATACTACCTATACAGTATAATTGTAGTATTATATTAATTATTAAGCTTTACTCTTTATATTTGCTAGTAGCTACAACAGTGCAAGTGCGATAAAAAAAACTACTTTATAAAAATGAATTAAAATATTGTATTATTCAACAAGATGAACACTTTGTCATAAAATAAAAATTATAGTAATGAAACTACTAGTTATTCGGTACAAATAATAATATATTGCTCTCAAAAATAACTATCTACTTCAAATTATTAATTTTTAAGACTTGTATTTAACGTATTGTTTTTAAAACAATATGGATTAAGTGAAAGTGAGTCAAATTGTTAAATATAGGCAGTTGATTATTTCTATATGTATTTATTACCATAGAGTGCTGTGATGGAATTTGAGATCCCGTTTCACAGAGTTCCCATACTTGTCAGTTTGAAGTACACCAACAACTTCAGGATGTGGGATCAATTCTTTGAACCGGCTATCAACGCTGGATATAAGTTTAAAAAATTAAATTAAAATAAATCTGAATAACTACAAATTATGATAGGTATACTTACAAATCATTGTCATGATTGTACTTAAACTTCATACTATCAGTACCACTTTGTACAATCTACAAATAATAATAATAATAATACAATAATTATGCATTATGCCGAGCTACACAAAAATATATTTATTTAAATATTTAACGGTTCACCAATATTTAACTGACCAATCATGTAAATTCATTAAATGTTTACTGATTGTTTATGTAACCCTGAACCTGGCATTAGTTTATGTTATAAGTATATACAATCAGTGGCGTATTTTCAATTTTTTTCTGGGGGTGGTCCAATAATTCCAACATAATATAGATATAGGTACTGATTTATAGAAATAGTTTTTAATAGATTATAAGAATAAAAAATAGTTGTTTTATTATATTTTATAATTTTCAAGTACAAAATCCAAGTGTCTTTTTTTTTACAAAGTTTTATTTTTTTATTTGAAGACATATTTATTCCAATTCCAATTTCCAAACAATAAATGGATACAAATAAATTATAAATTATACAACTATAAAAAAAATAAATTTGATAGCATTTATTAAATAATTATGAAATGTTAGGTTTTGGCAAATCTGTATTTACACCTATCACAAATGAGAGACAATAATTATTCTCAGTACACGTTGACAATTAATATTATTTCGATAGCCGTTTAATAATATTATGTTGTCAACTTCGTGTTAACACGTAAAAATAATGAAAGGTTTAAATTGTAGAAATAATATGACTTTATGACGACAGTCGTCCATATCACTCTGCTAACCTCTGCACAGAAAATAAATACTAAGTAGGTAAACATGGTTCTAAATGAATACTAATTGTCGGCCAGTAGACTCCAAAAATTACATTAATGCAGTGCCGTAAAAACCGGGTGTGCAAAGTGTGCACCGCACACAGGCCTCGGGCCTCATATATATATCGAAGGGCCTCAAAAGATCTAAAGACTAATATTAAACTAATATAAAATTATTAAAATATATAAATTATTTATTATTGATTTGGAAACGAAACCAATGTTATTTCATTTTTTTTTTTATATTGCCTGGAGTCGTGATCACTGTTTTTAGATTTTGAGAGGAACGAACAAATGTAACGTACGTTTGGCCAGCCCCCCCCCCAAAGGAAAAACTGTAAACAAACTATACAGATATTTAGCACGTAATTCGCACGAATTCGCACGCCTGGTTTGATAATTCGCACGACCTTCCTTCCCCCTCAAAAATCAAAATCCATGGGGGGGGCCAGCAACACGTCTTGCCAGCCCCCCCCATAGTTTAAATCAACATTTTCGCAATTTTTTTTTTGCAGATATTTAGCACGTGATTCGCACGTATTCGCACGCCTAGTTTTGAAATTCGCACGACTCTCCTTCCCCCTCAAAAATAAAAATCCATGGGGGGGGGCCAGCAACACGTCTTGCCAGCCCCCCCCATAGTTTAAATCAACATTTTCGCAATTTTTTTTTTGCAGATATTTAGCACGTAATTCGCACGAATTCGCACGCCTGGTTTGAAAATTCGCACGACCTTCCTTCCCCTAGAAAAACAAAAATTCATGGGGGGGGCTGGCAAAACGTTTCGCCAGCCCCCCCGGAGGTCCAAATTAACATTTTCGCAAATTTTCTTCTGCAGACATTTAGCACGTAATTCGCACGAATTCGCACGCCCGGTTTGAAAATTCGCACGACCTTCCTCCCCTCCAAAAACAATAAAATCATTTTTTGTCAAGAGAGATTTTTTATTCAATCAAGATATTTTCCATTGTACTTAGAATATTTTCTTATTAAATACAGTTGTCTATTAAGTTTTTTATTTAATATGGATTGTATATTAAAAATAGATTTTTTTTATTAACTGCAGGTATTTTACTAAAGTTTTTTTTATACATTTTTTATTCAACTAAGCTTTTTTTTAGGTTATACGCAATATTGTAATTAAATATTTTTCCAAGCTTACCATTATAATCTTGATTGAATAAAAAAGCCTAGTTGAATAAAAAATCTATAAAAAAACCTGAGTAAATTACATTTAGTTAATAAAAAAAAATCAATTTTTAATAAACAATCTATAATAAATAAAAACTGTATTCAATAAAAAAAATAACGTATGTAGAATAGAAAAAATCTTAATTTAATAAAAAGTCTATCTTGACAAGAAACCTAAATAAAAAATCTATGTTGAATAAAATATAATCTAATTTTTAATAAAAAATTTGATTGTATACAAAATCTAAAAAAAATCCTTCGTAGAATGCTTATAGTTAATAAAAAAACAATCAATTTTTAATAAATAATCTATTTTAAATAAAAATCTATATTTGATTAATGAATCTATATTAAACAAAAAAACCATGATAAAAAATTGTATTCAATAAAAATAATCTAAGTAGAATAGAAAAAAATTGTATTAAATAAAAAAGCCTAGGTGATTGAAAAATCTATAAAAAAAAGCCTGAGTTAATCACCTATAGTGAATAAAAAATAATTAATTTTTAATAAACAATCTAAAATAAATAAAAAACATTTAGTATTCAACAAGATTTTTTTCCATTATAACCGTAATATTAAAGACTTCCGATCTAGAGAAAATCTATATTTTATAAAAAAAAAACAATATCAAATAAAAAACTTAATAGACAACCGTATTTAATAAAAAACTAATCTAAGTAGGACGTAGGTACAATGGAAAAAAATCTTGTTGAATACTAAATGTTTTTTATTTATTTTAGATTATTTATTAAAAATTAATTATTTTTTATTAACTATAGGTGATTTACTCAGGCTTTTTTTTATAGATTTTTTAATCACCTAAAATAATCTAAAATAAATATTGCGAAAATAATTACTATTATAATTGAACAAATAATTATAATATTATGATGTCGGGAAATCAGAATAAAACTATTCAACGGCAGCTGTAAATTGTAATGGATGCCGCGTAACGAAAATACGACGATAAAAACAGTAAAAGGGGGATTATTGTCGACTGTCGTTTGGCGGTGTTTATAACGAACTAAACATTAAACAATTTGTGTTTTCCATTGGTACTGTAAGCAGAAAAATTATTTTTTTCGTGTAACGAGTTAAACAACAAATGAACAAACTGTGCCAATAGTTTTTTTTTGAAAATCGCATTAATTCGTGCAGATAATTCACGCAGTGATATTTTGATCGATTCCTTTAACCAAACCGTCACGAAAATTATTGATTTATTATCGAGTAGAGTGTACTTGCAAAATGCATTAACTACTTGAAATTCAACGTAAAAATTATTATTAAGAAAGCGTCATTATAAAATTAGTAACTTTACTCACTCGCCGACATCCATGCGTCCCTCGGCCGGTGGCGGCGCGTCACTGTCGGTCTTCAGCGGCGCCTCGTCGTGGTAGTTGTTGAACTGCATTGTATGATCCAATTATATATCAATACGACCTTTAAGTACCGTTTGAGTATTTTACTATAGTCTTGTCTGTAATCGAGTGCCAGTGTCAACACAAATCGAAGAATACAATAGGCCTAATAAAAACAAAATTGTTTAATAACTATATTACGCAAGTCCGCGGGGGTACGTCTGCAACTACCAACTGGTGCGCGCGTTCACTGTTCAACCATCAGCGTGGTTCTTGTTATTATGAAATATTTGTCGACTGCTTTATTACGAGGTATATAGCGTATACTGGTTAATGGTAGTCGGTTATAAGTGGTTTTGAGGGGTGGTGGCGGGTGTGATTATGGGGTAAACGTGACCTTGAATGAGCGCATACGTGTGTCCCGTACACGCACAGCGTTCCTGCGGGAGACGTGCAAGCCTCAAAGATCGGCAAGCAGTGTGGTACGGTACTACAAACATTCTATTCTAGCTATATTAACTGCTAGCAGGCTGGCTGTTTTAAATACGGAAAATAAAAATAAACCGAGAGACCAAAATATTAAGAGGCAAATAATTATTGGATAAGATAGAACTATTTTCATTGGTTATTTTTCCATAATCGATTAGGTACCTTTCAAAAATGATTCATGGCAGATTGTTGCATTGCGTGAGGCAGGGACTCAGAGAAACTAATTTTTGTCGAGTCGAGGGCTGTTTTCTTGCTGTGCAGAGTATAGGTAGTCGGAGCATACCAGTCAGATTCTGAGCGGAGCGATGAATGTATTGATTTTACAATGATGTGCTTTTTTTGGGTCTACTGTCACAGTTGGGTTACACGACACACATTTACAAGATTACTGATTAGTAGTCGAAACTCAAAATAATGCTTTGATTTAAAATGTCCGTATCTTTTATATTGGGAAAGGGAATCAGTATCTATATAGTTGATGCATTTGCAGAGGTTAAAATTGAAAATGTCCAGTACTTTTAAAAAAGTGTGTTAAGTACGGTAATCGGTCAAAAAGTCCAAGGATAAAAAATCCGGTATGAAAAAAGTTGGACGAAAAGTCCGGGTTTATTTTTTGATTGCCGGTACAAAGTCCGAAAATACAAAATTGACTATTAAATTTGCGTTTATAATATTATAATATACCTAATGTAGTAATGTAATATTATGTTATTTAGTCAGAATATTTTTTTTTTTTATATTTTATTATTTCTTATTATAAATTTGATTGTTATTAATATAACGTTTTTACAATTAATATTGTGGAGTAAATTTGATATTTTAATAATACGTTTTTATAAATATTGTGGACTAAACTTTAAATTTGTTAAATTTATCTTTAGTGAAAAGAAAAAAAAAATTGGAAAACAAAGACAATTTTATATTTTCGGACTTTTTGTCCGACAGTAAAAATTTAATCAAAAAATAAATCCGTATTTTTAGTCCAACTTTTTTCAATCCGTATTTTTTGTCCCCAGACTTTTCGTCCAAGATTCATCAAGTACACTAAGGTAACCCAAAACTTTAGTTGTAAATCACATGTTGATTTATAGACAACTGTCACATTCAATATGACTAAACAATAACAATATTGAAATTCAGTAATTTAAAATCTGGACTTCAAGATTAATAATTTCATTGTTATAAAATATTATTCAGTTTTTTGTTTTGATATTAGGGTATGCTTTATCATACCAAACACTCTTTAGTTATATCTATAGTAGAATAGTACCTCAGAACTAGTATGAATACATAGGTAATATATTTCTAAAGACACCATTGTATTAAGGTAAAAATTATATCGTCCAGTTTCATTCTCAACAATTTACCATAGTTTATGTAGATAGTAGAAACTAAATACCAATAAAAGGTTCTGAATACCTACTTAATCTGTAATAATACAGAAATTTGTTAGTAATAAATAATAATAAATAATTATCAAAAATATTTATTAAAATAAAATATGTTTGAACTCTTTACTATAGTACAAAAGAAGTCTCAATACAAAAATTATTATACAAATAAGACCTGTTAAAAATAAACTAAAATGTTAAACTTTATAAGTAGAACACCCACATTTTGTAGAAAATTACATAAATATACCTAACTGTCATAAATAATTAAAATATTTAAGTTTTAGTTCATATTCATACAATTTGAAATGTGGAGTGGTTGTGATTTTAGTGAATTAGGAGACAGTACAATTGTATTGGATAGGTGTCATTTTGAGTTACCACAGAGAGTTGTGATGGAATTTAAGATCTCGTTTTACAGAGTATCCATCCATGTCAGTCATAAAAGCACCTTTACTTTCAGGATTTGGATTCTTTTTCTTGAACTGGTTATCAACACTATAAAATCAAAAAAAAGTTTAATTAAAAAGACTATATATCAAAATAATCATTAAAATAGTTACTAACAAATCGGTGTCTTGGTTGTACTTGAACTTAACAAATGCAGCGTTCCCTTCGCCTTGTATAATCTATAAAGTATAAACGATAACAATGTATTAGTATTGTAAATAATGAACTATAGTTAAAATTGAAACTTACTTCAGCCATTGAATCATGATGTTTATGAGCTCCATGCCGTCCAAACATTGGTTGACTCTTATAAGCTACAGCTCTAAGAAAATATAATATATTAGATTTTTTTTTTAATATTTTAAGTTCTTTAAATTATATTCATACCGATTTCCAGTAATGTCACTGTTATTTTTTTTCTCTGCATTTGCTGTAAATTTAAATGTTAATAGACAATTGTAAAAAAAATACAGTTTTAAAACATTTAAAATTCGTACATGAATTGTGAAAAAATTCTTCAAAGATAACGAAATTGTTTCCCTGGTTTACCAATTTTGATAATTGAAAATGCTTCCACATAAACTGCAATAGTTTATTAGTTGGCTTATCGATTGCTAAATGTTTGGCTTCTAAACCAATATCCTAAAAATGTTGAATAGTAATTTTTAAATATTAAGTACAAAATATTCAGAATCATGTTAAAATAATTCTTATAAGAATAATGAGGTTATTATACCTGTAGCATGCATTGAAGCAAACGTATTCCATAACCTTTACGCTGTTTGGACTCATGTATGTAAAAATCCAACAAACAGTAGACCTTGGCTTCTGAACGGGAAGCTTGTTTGTCGTATAGAAACAATTTTTTCCATCCCATCTTCAAAAATCCAACAACAGCAAAATGACTAGTAAACAAAATACAAATAGAGTAATTTTTGTTAGAAAAAAATTAATTGATCAAAGATAAACATTGGTAATATATCATATATGTATAACTTACCCTGGCTTAATGTGTTCGGTCATCATATAAATTACATGATCAGAATTGACAAGTCTGTTGGCGCTGGTTATTGGCACCTTAAACTCTTGAGATACAGCTGATGCTTTACCCATTTCGTCAATGATCAATCTCATTATGTTTTTCAAACTGTAAAAACGCATACAATGTAATATTTATAAAACTGTACAGGTCATCAAAAGAATAATAGCAAAAATTGAATATCTACTGTAGCTTGGTTACATTTTCATGCTTCTAATCAGAACATCTGTTATAATAATATATTATAAGAACTCTACATGGGGTGGAAAAATAAATCGAAATAATTAGATTTTTTTTCAAAATATAGGTAGGTATCCCAAATAAAAATTCCGAACTATTTTTTCTCAGTTCTTCCAGTTTTATCCCCCCCCCTCCGTTTATAAATCATATTTTAGTTTAAAAATTAATTTCGGGGTCTGTGCTGCACTGCTGCTAACGATTTAAAATATACCTAGGTAAATATTATGTCTTAAATAATGGTGCTGTTGATAAAATTCCAGACCACCCAGAAAAAATTCCAGTTGCGCCCATGATGTAAGTACCTACTCAGTACTTACTCGTCGTTTTCCTCGTGTCCCTCGACCGTTAGTGTGTTATTTATCTTCAGCACCTCGTCGGTGGCCACTTTGCCGATGTTGAAGTTAAACTCCATCGTCGTCTGGTGAACGGTCTATACAAGGTAAATGAAACCTTAAGACGTGAATACTGTTTGAAAATACAGAACAAGGATTCGTGTAGAAGGGCACAAAATATTCTTCTTCGCTGTTATTCGATATTTTGAAAGCCTGACAAAATACACGACGGACAGAGAAGTGAAAAACTGAAACGCCGAACAAACGAATAATAAAACGCCCAACTCGATGGCGGTTGAAGTCTGCGGCGGCCGAACGGGCAGGCTGTTGACGGGACGGACAAGAAAATACCAGGTAACCGCCTTTCCGAACCAAGTACCAAACCCACAAAGTACCAACGTCCTACAGGCCTCACTCCGAATTATTAAGCGCCGATTGTTTAACTGGAATGAGGTAACGTTTTTTCCATGAAAATTGGATAGCGTTTTCCGAGTAGCGAGTACCTACGTTTTGTCTCGGGCGCGGGGCGGCTCCAAAGTCCAGATGGTGTCCAGGTGCAGACGCGAGATGATCACTAATAAAATAATACGAATATAACAAGAAAACCGATGTACGTCAAGACGTATTGAAAATATTATTTTGTTAATATAAGATTATTGAAGGGCCTATACGGTACGCGCATTGGGAATTCGCCTTTTCCCGACAGCTACGGACTGCGGGCTACAATTATTCGGAAAATCGCGTACTCGCAATAATATTCTCGTACGCTGGAAATTATCATAATATTACTGGCAATCGTTTTTCAAATAATAGAAATTTAGTCTGAACTCGTATTCATTTACAACATTACAACAATTCTATTAGTGTGTCTACTTATTTAGTGCCTACGGAATTCGCAAAATATAAATAATTGCCTTCGCAGCATCGCCTTCGCCTTGAACTATCTATAAATAATAACAATGATATATTACTCTCATAAATAATATATATAAGTTGTTGAATTAACACTTACCTCGCCCATCGTATCATGATGTTTATGAGCCCCGTGCCGTCCAAACATTGGCTGTCGCATATACGATACAGCTCTAACATAGTAAAATAGTAATGTAAAA